TACTTAGCAGGTACCATTCACTTTTTAAATAAAATTGAAAACTTTCTAATAGTATTCTCAATTAAATATTTGTCTAACATTCTTGCTCTTCCTGTTCTTGAAACCAACTAGATAAGCTGGCTGTACGTTGTACAGCCAGCTGGTCTTACTGTTGTAGCATCTTTCTTCTTCTAGATCCCCCATCAGTCCAGATAAGCAACGTCTGAATTAACACCTTTGAATTACATTACGTCTCAATTTTGTCAGTTACTGTGGGAGGTTCAGACACAGTCCTATATTTGTTCATACCCTAACAAGATTCCTTTAAAGCTTCCAGGCCAATCTGGTATATGCTGTTGCGCAGAGTCTTATATAATCCAGTGGCCCTTCCTGATGGCCGTAGTTAAAGGCACAATGCTGTCAGTTAACATTCCTCACTTACCATTACTTGCCCAAGTTTGGGAGTTGTGTCATGGAGACTTTGTATCTTCTTTTTGCCTCCATCTTTTCTGGCCTTTCAGCCTTCTTATTTTTAAAAGGATAGTGCTGGACACTGAAATCAGAGTCTACTAAGAGGACTTCGGACAATCTCGGTACTTCTCAAAAGTATAGTCAGGTTTGATGCACATTCTTTTGAACATAATAGGACATGTCCTCTGGTCTTACCTGAAACACTTTGTTGCCATGGAAGAAATGGGCTTTAGAATGAGAAACCAACTTGAGTTTAAACCCTAGCTCCATCACTTAACTAGCTGTGAGTTGCTTACCCTCTCTGTTTCTTCATCTCTATCTCTAAAATAGAGGTAGTGACTACTTCATAGTGAGGTTGTGAAAAATTAAGTGAGGAAACATATTAAGGTGACTAGTGCGCTATCTGGCATGTTGTGAACATGAATAATGTCACTTTTCCTCTTTACTGATGTAGGAGATAAAATCCTGGATGAGAGAGTGGGTCTGGTCCAGTGGACCACTTTTTACATTCTTTCCTTTTGTGTGTGTGTGGCGGGGTGGGGTACAGCGAGAGAGGGAGAGAATCTTAAATAGGCACCACGCCCAGCTGATGAGGGGCTCGATCTCACAACACCGAGATCATGACCTGAGCCGAAGTCAAGAGTCAGATGCTTAACCAACTGAGCCGCCTAGGCGCTGCCACTTTGTATGTTCTCTTTAAACATGCCTTTTCAGTTTTTAAATAGCACAAGGCCAAGCAGAACTTCTCAAGTCACCTGGATTTATTGAATATACTTTCAGCAATGTTCAGTTTTTACTGAACATCTATTATGTGCCAAAAACTGAACAAGAGAGATACAGAGCTAAGTAACATAAGAAATCCTTATCTCCACTACCCACGCTCCCCACATACACACAAGAAACCCGCAGTCTAACAGGAAAGATGGATTACTAAACCAGTAATGACAAGGTGCAATGGGAACAAAAGAGGAATAGTATCTGCATACTCTAGGTAGTCAGGGGGAAACTTCCAGAAATGACACTTGAGCCAAGCGTGGACTTTCAGGCAGAAGGAACAATATTGACAATATTTACAAAGGCAGGGAGGCAAAAGAAAGCATGCTCTGTTCTAGAAACTGAGTTAATGGAAAGAAGGGTATCTGTGGAGGTGTGGCAGCATGAAGCTGGAGAGAGAGGTAGGAATCATATTTTAAACTATTTTCTACATCTTACTAAAGGGTCTGAACTTTAACCAGAGGCAGTGAAGGACCACTAAAGCCTTTTAAGCTGCAAAATGGAATTCTCGATGTTTCATTTTAGAAATAAATACTTTAGGGGTGCCTGGGTGGCTCAGGTCATGAGCCCAGAGTCCCGGGATTGGGAATGAGCCCTGAGCGGGGTGCCCCCCCCCTCCATGGGGAGTCTGCTTCTCCCTCTGCCCCTCCCCTGGCTCGTGCTCTCTCTCTCTCTCTCACTGTCTCTCTAAAGATAAAATCTTTAAAAAAAAATAGAAAGAAATACATTAGCAGCAGAGTAGAAGATCTGTTTAATAAAAGTTTGAGGGGCACCTGGGTGGCTCAGTTGTTAAGCGTCTGCTTTTGGCTCAGGTCATGATCCCAGGGTCCTGGGATCGAACCCCACGTCGGGCTCCCTGCTCGGCGGGAAGTCTGCTTCTCCCTCTGTCACTCCTCCTGCTTGTGTTCCCTCTCTCCCTGTCTCTCTCTCTGTCTGTCAAATAAATAAATAAATAAATAAATAAATAAGGTTTGAGATGAGAATGAAGGAAGGAAAAAAGCAAAGAAGAAAAACTAGGGCATTAGCAGTAAGTGAAGTGAGGCATTACAAGAGCCTGAATGAGGGTAGTAAGTGTGGGAATAGAAACAGATAGATAAGGGCAATATTAAAATGGAATTGAAATGACTTGTGGTTAATTCATGGGGGTTGTTGGATGAGTATAAGGAAGGCATTGAAGATGATTTCAGGGTTCTGGCTTGGAAGACTGGACGGATGATGGTGCCATTTACCAATATAACAGAAATGATGGAGGAAGTTGGGGTGGCAGGTCCAGGCAGCAACAGAGATGAGTTTAGCTTGGGGCATATTGCATTCCATATGGCTGGGAAGATGTCCAGTAAGTAGTTGGCTGTGTCCAGATCTGGACAACAGAGCCAACTGGGAAGGTCGATTTAACCATATGTGAGAATGCTCTAAGTGATAATCTAACCCAACTGTTATTAATTTTCCTTTTATTTCCAGTGACTAACATGTATTAAGTGGTCAGCAAATATTTGTTGAATTGATGTTATTATGGCTGCAGCTTTTATCAGTGGTCTCCTCTGCACATGCTTTGAAACAAAAATTATTGCTTGATCTAGTTTTATTCAACAGTAGGCAACTTTGGGCCAGGTGTTCCTGGCCTAAGCTATGTTCAATTCACAAATGGCTTCTTGATGGCAGATCACCACGTATCACTTGAGCAGACTGGTATAAAATTGGCTTTAACTTGATTTTCTTAGGTACTTTCCTGGTTATAAATCAGCCTTCTCACTTGTAACAAAATTATTTGGAAAAGCCGTGAAGTTTTTCTCCATGTGAGTGAGTTTGTATATGCTGTTCACAGTGTTAGAGCTAGCATATAGCAATTTGAGAAAGTCTATTTGTTTATTACCAGCTGATCTATTTTTGGACAGCTCTAACAGCTTGGTCTGACTCAAAAGAAATGGTGAGAAAAGTGCCCTAGAAAGTAATACAGTGCGTAAATAATAACAACTAATTTATTCTAGTAAATAAGGCCCTAGCATATTCTAGGTACTCAGAACTTCGGTTGAATTAAGTGCCTCTATATGGCACTTTAGAATTTACAAAGTGCTTTCACATATATTGGTTTTTTTGATCTTCAGAACCCCATGAGTCAAACCAGGTATTTTTCTCATTTTATTTAAGTATGAGGAAATTCACATACCCTTAACATGAATATTTTATGTGTCTCTGATTCGTCTGTAGACAAAGACGAATCTGTTGTTCTCTCTCAATCCCATTTTTCATGCCCTGTGTGATCATGTGATCTTCATAATCAGTCCATGAAAGACCTGCCTAATCCGAATTCAACTTGTACCACTCTGGGATGCTCTTGAGTTGATGGTTTCAAGACGGCTTAAAAGTATGTCCTGAAGTTCTTGAGTGTGCAGCGCCTCTTTGCTTGACTTAATAGGGCACTGCTTTATATCCATCACAACGTAGGTTGGTTTACAAGTCAAGGAGCAGCAGCAATTTTTAAAAAAATAGTAATACGTGTCTTGTGATTTTAGCAGTAACATGTGTACGTATGTGTCATTGACTCCAGGAATACCTTTTGAAAAGAGTCCTTTTCTGTTAGTAAGTTCGTAGGTGGTATGTAATATGGGAAGTTGATCTTGGCAAAATTTCAGGCCCACGTGGCTTTCTGGTGAGCACATGCACGTGTTTACCTTTCCTGACATTTAGCTTCTTCCTTCAGCCTGTTGGTTTTTCACATGGCTCATATTCCTTTTTTACTCATGTGAATTCCTTCTCCTCTACCTAATAGAACCTTTCTTTAAACTTTATGTTTATGTCCATCCATGGTTATGTTACCTTGTCATCCACATTCTCTTAGAAGTACTTATTTTAGGTCTGTTTTTTTCTGTGGTATAAGATACTTGGTCCAGGAAGGAACTGTTTCCTGGACTTACTTCTTAGGTATGGCAATAGGTCATTCATCTGTGAAGAAATATAGCTTGGGGCGCCTGGGTGGTTCATTTGGTTAAGCATCTGCCTTCAGTTTAGGACACGATCTCAGAGTCCTGGGATAGAGCCCCGCTTCAGGCTCTCTGCTCAGTGGGGAGTCTGCTTCTCCCTCTCCCTCTGCCCTTCCCCACTGCTTGTGTGCTCTATCTTTAATAAATGAATAAAAAATATTTTTAAAAAGTGTGTCTCAGCTGCTGGGTCACTTTTATTATGTTTACAAAGAAATCACTATTTTTGATACTTAATTTCATGACAGTGGTTGGATTAAATTTGTTCTGGATGTATTCGATGTTTTAATCCCTGCCATCCAAAGTCCAAATTTTAGTCTGTCAGGGCCTAGTATGATATTTATGGTTTGGTGATATGAAACATTCTGCAACCTGATCAGGCTTCTGGAGAAGATGTTTGATTGGCTCATAAATCACATTGTTCCTGTGTATAGTAATGAGTTAGGTATTCAGGAATGGCAAAGTAACTCTTTTAAGTATGAAAAGTATGTGGTATACATGGAAGGTCATAGTAACACAAAGTGCTTGGTACTATGTGAGGCATATCAAAATTAGTTCTTAGGTTAACAGGGTTATAGAAATAAGACCATAATGAGGTTGGAACTGCTTAGACCACTAATATATTTATCAATGAAGAGCAGTTGTTCCTTTTGGCTACCTCAGGAGCTAAGATTCTTGGTTTATATTAATACTGATATTTTCGAGACCTCTTAAAAATCATTGTTGATTCTCAGAGTTCACTGTATTCCCTACTTATTCCTAACCTTCTTGCTTTTGTATGTGTTCATTCATTTGTAGAATATAAATGGCATTCGCACAGAGGAGGCGGCTGCCGTGGCAAAGGGGCCATCTACCAACCCTGACTCTGAATGGGATGGTCCCAAGCATTCAGTAATTCCTAGTAAGAGCCAAATGACCACCCCGTCGGAGTCTCCACAAAGCTTTGAGTTTGGCTCCCTGTCCATAAGCAGCAAGGAGACAGAAGAGAAGGAGCAGGGGGCAGCTGGCTATCTTGATGTTAAGGAAATACCAAGAGGCTCAAGTGGGGAATGTATAGGAATGGAGGAACAGGCCAGTGCCTTAAACTTCTCAGTATCGCCAGCTTCCTCTCAGCTTCAACTTGGTGAAAAAAAGGCAGAGAGTAGTGAAGAACATGTTACACCAGGAGAGCCACTTGGAAAGCAAAATGGATCATTTCATGACTCTCGTGTGGGTAACCAGTTCCCCACCCTCATTCGAAGTTTCCAGGTAGTAACCAATTCAATGATGCAGGTCTAATGACTCACTCTGGGAGAGGGCCAGAATCTGCTCTGTGGAGGTGGCGGTGGTGGTGGTGGTCGTGAGGGCAGTCACCTCTCTGCTTTTTTCAAAATCAAAGAATAAAACCAAACCCCTTGATTATTACAAATAAATTTATTCAGAGGAATTAACTCCATGGCCAGAAATGCTTTCACCCCTGATGACTTAAAACTCTTGGGGGTAAGTTCCAGCTGCTTATCTTTATGAAGCTGGTGTGAGTGGGTTCCTCTTTTCCTTGCTCAAGTGTGGGCTATATACAGAGGTGAATTTCTGAGACGTCTATGGTGAAGAGCCATTAGTGTTCTGAGGCCATGCTCAAAATTTCAAATACTCTTCATTAGAAGAGGCAACTGATTTTTTTTTTTTTTTGAGATTTCAGACCCCAGATCATGATTTCTGTATTGCAGCCACATAGTACAGCCCACCACTCCCACTGACCCCACTCACAAGGGCTTCCATGTTCACAGGCACTAATCTCCTATGCTAAGGTGGGTGGCCACTTAACTTTATCACAATCAACTGGTAGTTTTAGGGTGATTTGTAGTCTTTGGCAAGGTGAGCTGATGGACAAGAAGCCTTCGATACTCCACTGTTCATTCTTCTGAAATTCTGAGATTAATCACCAGGTGGTGGTAGGAGTGATGATTTTCTTTCCAGTTTTCCAAATACTGTTCCTTCTCAATAAATCCAAAGCGAATGTCTGACATTGATTTGAAAGAAGTTAATGAATTCCAGGATAAAGTATTCCAGTGCCATTGCTGTTTCATGTCCCATTTGTAGTTCGTGGAAGAAATGTGACTGATTTTCCTAATTGTAATGGCACAGTCACAAGGACAAACAAAAGTGACTGCTATTTGGCAAACAGTTTGAAATTCTGAAGGTCAGTCTAAAGTGTTTTATATCACTGATCATAACCGTCTGATCTTACAGCTTTCCATTAAGGATATGAAAATGATTACAGTAATGCTGTTTTTTAATATCCCTCATGATTTGACACCTTGTCAAGGCTGCTTGGAATAGTGTCCAAGGCTTAGGCAGAGATTGATCTAGCCCTTGGCTTGATTAGAGCTATCACTTTGATCAGATCAATGTCAGAAGATTAGTTCTTCGCAGCCTTTCGAAGACTCTGGTAACTAACTCTGTTTCTTTACTGCTTCACAGCCTCCCCTGGTGAAGACTCAGACCGTCACCATCTCAGATACTGCCAACGCTGTGAAAAGTGAAATCCCAACCAAAGATGTCCCTATTGTTCACACAGAGACCAAGACCATCACTTACGAGGCTGCCCAGGTGGGACATGATGTGCTGTTTCAGAAACAAAGACTGGAGTAAACACAATAGATAACCTTCTTTCTTTACAGAGTCTCTAATCATTTGCTGCAAATAAAGCTAGGCTTTTCTGGCATAATTCTTTTTTTTTTTTTTTTAAGATTTATTTATTTGACAGACAGAGATCACAAGTAGGCAGAGAGGCAGGCAGAGAGAGAGGAGGAAGCAGGCTCCCCACGAAGCAGAGAGCCCGACGTGGGGCTCGATCCCAGAACCCTGGGATCATGACCTGAGCCGAAGGCAGAGCCTTTAACCCACTGAGCCACCCAGGTGCCCCTGGCATAATTCTTTTTAGAAGAGATTACTGATCTGAGGATGTCCCACAGTACTTACTTCATTAAAAGCAAAGTTGTCTTGCATCTAACTGCTTATATCCCCCCAGTTCAGTGAGGGAAGGCAGTCATGGGCTTTGGGTCACACAAATTTGAGGTCAAGTTCCGGATCCTCCACTTACTCCACTTACTACCAGTAACCGAATGTCTCTGAGCTTTGATTGCCACCTCCCACCCCCGTCCATGATGTTAGTATCAGTCTCATGATTTAATTTAAATTTTTAAAAAAATTTTAAAAGATTTTATTTATTAGAGAGAGCACGAGCATGAGCAGAGGGAGGGGCAGACTCCCTGCTGAGCAGGAAGCCTGACTTGGGGATCAACCCAGGACCCCAGGATCATGACCTGAGCCAAAGACCCCTGCCTCATGATTTTATTATGAAGACTGTATAAGATACAACACTGTATGGACTTGACTTGAGCATCATGCCTGAAAGTGTAAATAAGTAACAGCTATAATATAACTTATTATATTATATTGTATAACATGTAATTGGCTCAGTTGGAGGAGTGTGCAACTCTTGATCTTGGGGTTGTCAGTTCAAGGTCCACATTGGTTGTAGAGATTACTTAAAAATAAAATTTATAAATAAATAAATAAAAATTGGGGTGCCTGGGTGGCTCAGTGGGTTAAAGCCTCTGCCTTTGGCTCAGTTCATGGTCTCAGGGTCCTGGGATCAAGCCCTGCATTGGGCTCTCTGCCTACTTATGATCTCTGTCAAATGAATAAATAAAATCTTTAATAAATAAATAAATAAATAAATTTTTAAAAAATTATTAAAATTTATTACAATTAAATTTAAAATCACACAAGAATTTAAGCATTTAAAATTTTTGTTTAAATAAAAATTTTGTTTACTTTCAGTAAAATTTCTCCTTCCTTATTGGTAATTTGAATGAGCTAAGAGTTGCTTTATGTTGAATTGGGTTTTTTTTTTTCCTTTTTTTTATTCATAGAAGCCAAAAGTTAGAAAACGTTTTCCCCCTATAAACTGATAAGCAAATATAAGTCAGTATTTGTTGAGCATTTATGTATTAGGCCAAAGAAACGAAAATCGGATGAAGAGTTAGACAATTTGAGATTATATGAAAGGTTGTTCCTCTGAGGCTAGTGTTGTCGGGAAAAACCTCTCTGAGGAGGCCACATTTTGGCTGGAGCCTGCATGGCAGGAACAAGGCAGCTGTGTGAAACTCTGGCTGAGTGATTTCACCTAAATCCTTACGACTCATCTTCACACCATGAACTGGAGGACCATACCCCTTTCAGGAACCGGCATCCCTTACCAATTAAAAACATGTGCCTTGCAACTAGACAGATGGAACTTGTATCCTCGCTCAACCACATAACTAGTTGGATAAGTTGAAACAAATCAGTAATCTCTTTCCCCTGTTTCTTTGGCTGTAAAATGGGGCTAGTATCATCCTCCATTGCAAGATTTGGGGGAGAATTTAGTGGAATGATGTCTGTACAGTGTTCGATCCATTCACAGATGCTAAGTCACTGTTAGCATGCTACTCCCGTCTCTCTTGTGGTCTAGAGTGTGGCATTTGGTAAATAAGGAGGGGTTGCTTGAAGTGTTTTTTAGCAGTGGTAAGAAAGCAGCATCACTGAGGCTGTGATTTTTGGCAGATGATTCCTAAGGCTGTGTGCTGAATATTTTAAAGTAGGGCAATGCCTGGAGACAGGGCTATGACTAGAGCAAGTCTGGGGAGATGCTTATAAAGAACCGAAGGATACCTGGAGGAGATGAGAAGAAGGAGCTGGGGCAGGAGAGATCGAAATGAATGACTAGGACTTGGCAGTACAGGGGATTGAAGAAGGAAGGAATAGGAAATTACTTTAAGGTTGTGCACGTCATTAACCTGAGGATGTAAGAATTACTTTCATATGGTAGGAAACTCTCTAAATTGTTACTGCCATGGAAACAACCTAACTCGCCATCAGTAGGGAACAGGTTAAACAAATGGTGGTATACCCAGTTAGTATAATTCCGTGCAGCTCTTTAAAAAAGCTTCTAATGGGAATAATCTATGTGATAAATGAACAGATAAAAAAGCATAGTGGGGGGTGGCACCTGGGTGGCTCAGTCAGTTAGGCATCAACTCTTGGTTTCAGCTTGGGTCGTGATCTCAGGGTTGTGAGATCGAGCCCTGCATCAGGCTCTGTGCTGAGGGGGGAGTTTTGCTTGAGATTCTTTTCCTCCCTCTCCTTCTGCACCTCCCCATCCTCTCTCTCTCTCAAATAAATAAATCCTTAAAAAAAAAAAAGGCATGGTGGAATATGGTGTAATAATATGCTGTTTATAGGAGGGAAAGAGGAAGCTTGTACATGAATATATTATCTCCGAATGAGTACTCAAAAAGAAAACCCAAAAAGCAGTGGTGGCCTTTGGTGAAGGGGACTGGGACTCCAGGACTGTGGTCAGGAGTGGGAGGGAGGCTGACATTTCACCCTATTCCGTTTTGAAGTGAATTTTGTAGCATATGCGTGAAAGTTGTTAGGACCGAGCTGCCTACCAGAGCCCACATGGTCTGAGTGTAGACCCAGTAAAAAAGGGAAAAGGAGGGCAGTCGTTTTAAAATGTACTCATGTGTCAGGGAAGTGTAGAAGAAGCTTGATGTGCTGGGTAAATCAGGTGGGCTTTGGAGTTAGGGATCTTAATTCCAACACTTGCTAGTTCTGTGACCTTTTGCAAGTCACTTAAACTCTTTGAGCCTTAGTTTTGTCTTCTGAAAAATAACTTTATAAGGTTATTAAAATAAAGATAATATTTGCCTGGCATATAGTAGGTATTAAAAAATGGTAGCTATGACTATATTATATTGTTCCATATCTTAGTTCATTTTAACGGGGCTTAAGACAGTCAAACAAAATACACATGATGACTTCTTATTCATGCTAGACGGTGGAGCATAGCGGAGAAAGTACTGACTTTGGAATTGAATTTCCTGGGTTCGAACCAGCTCCATCATTTACTGATATGCCATCAGGTTAATCTCTCCGTGCCTCATTGTCCTCATTTGTAAAATGGGACCAATGATAGTTCCACTCCATAGGGTTGTTGCAAGGAATAAGCTAATGTGCATTTCAGATTAAGTTGTCACCACCATGGAAACAAGCTAAATGTCCGTCACAGGGAACAAGTTAGATAAATTGTGGAACAGCCAATGAAGGTAATTCTATACAGCTGTGAAAAGCCTCTGATGGGAATAATCTGTAGGATAAACTGGTAAATAAAAAGGTGCAGTGCAGTATGTCTAGAAAAATGTGCCTGGCATATAACAAACACGAGACAGTTATTTGCTATTGTTATTTATTTACTATAACTATTTCTGCTCCTGTTTTTATTATCTTGCCAAACAGGTTAGTCCAGGAACCTTTTTTTTTCTTTCTTTTTTTTTTTTTTTTTAAGTTATTCTACAGTTCCCACACTTTGGGGAATGTGGTGAGAGGAGACAGGGAGCCAGAACAGGATTTTACTGTTTGTGTATATGTGCGTGTGTGCATGCTTGAGGTAAAGTTTATCTACATACAGGGATGTGTAGTTTTTAAGTATTCCACTTGATTGACTTTTTTTTAAATGATGCCTACCTTTTTTTTTTTTTTTTTTTTTTTTTTTAAGATTTTAAGCAGGTGGAGCAGTAGGTAGAAGGAGGGGGAGAAGCAGGCTCTCCACTGAGCAGGGAGTCCCACCTGGGGCTCAATCCCGGGACCCTGCGTCATGACCTGAGCCCAAAGCAGACACTTAACCGAGTCACCCAGGTGCCCCCCATTTGATTGATTTTGACACACACACATATATATATACCTGTGTAACCAAGACACATTTGGGATAACTTCCATTGCCCCTGAAACTTTCTTCGTAGCCTTATTCTAGTTACTCTATGCCCCTCCAGGCAGTCACTGCTTTGATTTCCATAACCACAGCTTAGGTTTGCCTGTTCTTGGACGCCATATACATAGAAGTATCCAGTAGTACACTTTTGTGTCTGAACATGTTTTTCTTAGACTCATCAAAGTTATAAGAATCTGTAGTTTACTTTTTTATTGTTGTTGAATAGTATCCCATTGTATGAGTGTAACACAATTTGTTTATCCTTTCCTTTGTTGATGGACACTTGAGCTGGTTCCGTTTGGAGCAAATGTGAATAAAGCTTCCGTGAACATTCATGTGCAAGTCATTGTAGACACATGTTTTCGCTTATCTTGGGTAAACACCTAAGAGTGAAATTGCTGGGCCCTAGGATAAATGGATGTTTAACTTTCTAAACAACTGTCAGAGCCACAGCTTCATTTTGAGGAAACATTGGTTACAGGGTCAAAGAAGAGAGTCCACATGTGGGAAGAGTGTAAGTCAGAAATCATAACAACATCTCGTCCATCTTCCGCTTCTTCAGAGACAGAGAACAGGGAATAAGGGAGTCAGTGGGAGGTAGGGAAATATGATAGACTCCCCACTTTAGTAGAGGTGGAGCTCTTCAAAAAGGTTTAGCCCTCCTGGCACACAAATTTATATTCTTTTTTTTTTTCAAGATTTTATTTATTTATTTGACAGAGAGAAATCACAAGTAGGCAGAGAGGCAGGCAGGGAGAGAGAGGAGGAAGGAGGCTCCCCGCCAAGCAGAGAGCCCGATGCGGGACTCGATTCCAGGACCCTGAGATCATGACCTGAGCCGAAGGCAGAGGCTTAAACCACTGAGCAACCCAGGCACCCCAAATTTATATTCTTATAATGATGTAGAAAGTACTTTTACTTCTACAGTCTGTTTAGATCTTCACAACAATGCCACGGTGGGGGCAGGGCCGTATTACAGAACTGGCTGTTACAAGTGAGACGACTAAAGCTCAGAGAGTCAGAAGGGCTCGCCCAGGATCCCATCGCTACTTATGTCTGAGCTGGGACCCAAACCTCAGTCTTCAGACAAGAAGTGTCTTGTCCTAAATTCTAGTTCAAACACTGATTAGCTATAGAGCCTTGACCAATTATTTAACTTCTCTGGACCAACTATACAGCAAGGATAGTAATAGTACCCACTTCAGATATTGGGAGGTGGAATTGAGTTGCATCCTGTGCTTGGCACATAGTAGGAGTATAATAAAGATTCCTTGAGTTTGAATCTAAAGTAGATAGGTGGGTCTTCACTAAAGAAAGTGTTAGTGAACTTGCCATTCGTCTAGCTGTCATGATGCTGGCATGCATGTAAGGCTTTGGTGTCACAATCTTTCTTTGGTCTCCTCTCTTTCTTTGGTCTAGATTCTTACCTAGAAAGGAACTCAGCCAGAGACTCTTTTCTTCCTAATTCTCTTCTGCCCCTCCTATCTCCCACCCCCACATATTGTAACATTTTGCCTCAGTGAAATGTGGTTCTGCTCAGAAAAAGTTTGGAGGCCTCTGCTTATAACACAGATGACTTTATAAAGAGGGTAGGAAAAGATAGTAATGTAACACTTTTTTAACTGCAGGGTTCTTTTTGAAAAGAAATGCAATTCTCTAAATTTCTTCTGAGCCTGTGTACAATCCCGGAACCAACCGGTCATATATTCTAGACAGCGCATTGGCTCTGGGCAGCCCCCATCCTCTACTCTAATTCTGTTTCCCTCCCAGTTATGGGACTGTCGGCAGCTCTGATTCCTGCTACCAGCCTAGTGGCTACTGATAACCATCTCTCTTCCTTTTTGCTAGTGCCCTTTCTCAGCCTGATCATTATACAATTGTTTTGGTCATAATATGGCAACCTCTAGAGAAACAAGAAGTCACCCCAGCCCTTGTTCTCTGTATAGATTAGTTGCAAAGCCCAGCATTCTAAATACTTTAAAATGCTCCCTAATCAGGATAGTCCATTTCAGTAATAGTTTTGTTGTCCCAAATGTCATTGAGAGTATCATGTAGGTTTCCTCCATGGTGTTGTCTTAAAGGGATATTTCCTACCTCCTTGGTTCCAGGCTCCCCCTCAGTCTTCAAAGAAGACAGCCTAAGATTCCCTGGCCCCTTGAGCCCTGGCAAGGACATTTCCCGATCCTTTCTGGAAAGTTCCACCCTATGATTCAGAACCTACCCACGCCTTAGCACACAAGAGTTTATACTTTTCCTGCCTTGGGTGGTGTGTAAAGAGTTTCTGGTTTGTAGAGTGGGCAACTTCTACTTACAAGTTTTGAGTCCTTGAGCAAGTCATCTGCCTTCTCTGGGCCTGAGTTTTCTTACCAGGGAGTGCTAATCAGTCTCTGCCCTTACTAATTATTACACAGGGCTTGTGTGGGCATCAAAAAAGACAGTGTTTTGAAAGGCCATTGTGAACTCTAAAATGTTGTACACGCGTGTGTAGCCATTGCCACTCCTGTTGGACTTGTGGCTGTAGTCCTGCCTCCCCTTTCTGACCCGCTTCTGTCATTGACCTTGTGGTAGGGAAACTGACCCAACCAACATTCTTAGAAGGAGCCTTGCTGCCAGGGGATTGTTTTCTTTATGAAGCGATCACTGTAAGGGAATCAGGTTTTTGCTTTAGAATGTACAGCTGAAGAGTGAAGCCGCCTCCTGCCACATTTGCCCATAGGCTTCCTGAGAGGCATGGTGATGAGTTGAATTTTTTTTCTGCAGACTGACGACAGCAATGGGGACTTGGACCCAGGAGTCCTGCTGACAGCTCAGACCATCACATCTGAGACCACAAGCAGCACAACCACAACTCAGATTACCAAGGTAACAGACCAGTTAGAACTTCCTTCTGGAATTCAGTGGCATGCCGAGTTTGCTCCCTCTCTGAAACAAGGACCCTGGTCTAGAAGCAAGGGTTTTCAGCTCCATCCCTACTGAGCCAAATGATTCCAACTGTCACAGGTGGGAAAGCCCTGCTGCTTCCCCAGCAGTAAAGCTAGGGGGACCCTGGGGGCACCCTTGCCTAGTTAGTAGTCTCATAAAGCCACGTGTGGTTGTTCTCTACACATCCGCCTGTCTCTCTGGTCACTCCCCTCTCTGGCTGTGAAGGTAAGTTGAAAAAGCAAGTTTAAGGACAAGTGTCATTGGTATTATTATACAACCATAGTTTCCAAGTCAAAAATCAGAACTCAGGAGTTTTTATATCGGGGCACCTGGGTGGCTCAGTTGGTTAAGCGGCTGCCTTCGGCTCAGGTCATGATCCCAGGATTCTGGGATCAGGCCCCACATTGGGCTCCCTGGTTGGTGGGGAGGCTGCTTCTCCCTCTCCCTCTCCCCCTGCTTGTGTTCCTTCTCTTGCTAAGTGCCTGTCTGTCGAATAAATAAAATCTTTAAAAAGAAAGAGTTTTTATATAATGTCCAGTATCAAGGCCAGGAGAACTACAGTTTGCATGCTGAAATACTGGAATTATTAGAATATTATTTATGGGAGCAAGCAGGAAAAATTATCTAAAATTGGAACTACTCCCTGGAAATCAGAGACAGTCCATGTTTGCTGCAGCACTAGGGGGAAATCTATTTTCTTGTAAGTAAGAAACCTAGATTTCTGACCAAGCTCTGTTATCAATATACAGATAATTAGGAGCTGGTTACTTAATGTGTCTAGACCTTGGTTATCCTCATCTGTCAATTAGGGAAACCTACCCGCCCTGAGGGGATTTTTTTTTTATTTTATTTTTTATAAACATATAATATATTTTTATCCCCAGGGGTACAGGTCTGTGAATCACCAGGTTTACACACTTCACAGCACTCACCACAGCACATACCCTCCCCAATGTCCATAACCCCACCCCCCTCTCCCATCAACCCTCAGTTTGTTTTGTGAGATTAAGAGTCACTTATGGTTTGTCTCCCTCCCAATCCCATCTTGTTTCATTTACTCTTCTCCTACCCCCTTAACCCCCATGTTGCATCTCCTCTCCTCTCCCTCATATCAGGGAGATCATATGATAGTTGTCTTTCTCCGATTGACCTATTTTGCTAAGCATGATACCCTCTAGTTCCATCCACGTCGTCGCAAATGGCAAGATTTCTTTTCTTTTGATGAATGCATAGTATTCCATTGTGTATATATACCACATCTTCTTTATCCATTCATCTGTTGATGGACATCTAGGTTCTTTCCATTGTTTGGCTATTGTAGACATTGCTGCTATAAACATTCGGGTGCACGTGCCTCTTCGGATCACTATGTTTGTATCTTTAGGGTAAATACCCAGTAGTGCAATTGCTGGGTCATAGGATAGTTCTATTTTCAACATTTTGAGGAACCTCCATGCTGTTTTCCAGAGTGGTTGCACCAGCTTGCATTCCCACCAACAGTGTAGGAGGGTTCCTGAGGGAATTATTTAAGGATCTTTTGATATCAATAATACGAAAGTGCTTGAAAATAAAGAGCCCAGTTTCAAGCTGTGTGACATTTTTGTTCACAGTCTTCCCAATTTCCTCTTGAAAATAATCAAATGTACAGGAAAAGAGCAAAAAGAAACACCTGTTTTGTTTACTCACTGAATTTCTGTGATGTTTGGGAGGAAGAAAAAGGGAAAAATAAATAGAGATTTGTAGCTTTCCGTTTTGCTTATTAAAGATTTTAGCAATCCGCAGGAGAAGAGGTGTGCTCATTTTAGCAGGCACAGCCAAGAATTTGGACAAGTGGGTAAGAATGCGGTTCTACACAGTACCCAGCAGCAGATGAAATTTTGAAGTAGAGCTTTCAGAATAATCTTTTACAGTTTGTTTTCCCTTCCTGCTTTCCTTTCTTTCTCATGTGACCTCCTCTGTTTGGTTTCAGACCGTAAAAGGTGGGATTTCAGAGACCCGGATTGAGAAGAGAATCGTGATCACGGGAGATGCCGATATTGACCACGACCAGGTGGGACTGCTGAGGAGCATGGATTCAGCATGGGTCCCTGGGCAGGAAGAGGGATGGATACAGGAGTTGGCTTTCAGAAGATGCCTCTGCCAGCTTCATCCCCAGAAACCCCCTGGGCTACTCTAACACCTAAATGGGGAGGGCGAAGGGAATCAGACCATGGAGGCCTATGGGATGGGGGCTGTAGGTGGGGGGAGCGTGAAGTGTAATAGAAAGAAAATAGGCCTTAGACTCGAAAGGCTTGGGTTCAAATCCTAGGTCTCCCCAAATTCTAGCTCTTAACTTCCTAGGCCTCTGTTTCCCTGGGCGTTATGGCAACTTCCTCTCAAAGTTGTTGTGAGAATCGTGGGAAATGGGCTGTGTGGTGTGAGGTACATGGTGGGCTCTGGGTGGGCGGAGCTGTTGCTGTCCAGCGGATAGTGTGTACTTAAAACCTGTGCTGGGGACGGAAGAAGATAGCAAGACAGAGGGAAGGGGTGAGCCTTGCCCGCAGAGGACTGTAGGGGCAGAGGAGGCGAGGGAAGCAGAGTGAGGTGGACTGCATGCAAACAGGAGTCTTGACTTCAAGCCTGTCCTAGATCTGTCGCTAACTTACTGTGTGACCTTGGGCAAACCACACTACCTCTGATTCTTTTTTGTCTCTTAAAAGAGAGTAGGTTGATCTAGGTAATTTCTGGGCCCTTCTGAGCACTAAAACTCTATGTTTCTATATTAATTAGGTGCTAATTGTGTGCTGCAAGCAATTAGCAAATAATAAGGTCAGAATTAATGCTCCCAGTTCTCTGCTGGGTGAGATTAGAACAGTAAAGCTGCAGAGAAGAGGGGGTGGAAGGGACTGCATGCAAATGCTTCTGGAATCATTGACAGCAGTGCTGGAGCAATAATTCCACGGCCTTTATGCTGATATGTTGAGTGCCTTAAAAAAAAAAAAAGAAAAGAAAAGAAACCTGAGCCTCACTGCTGGCAGTTCCCTTGGTAGCAAGGTTGAGACTCCCTGCTGGGAACGCAGGCTCAGGGTCCCGGCAACAAGGCTGCAAAGCCCAAGTGGGAGGCCTTGCAGCCTCTTGGCCCTAGCTCAGTAGATCCTGCTGTGCTACCAGCCTGCGCCCACCTCCTTGGTGGGGTCGATCTGAGCCCCTGCTGTGTGCTCAGTTGGTGCTAGACAGCAAGGGCCATGGGGACCGGAAAGTGTTTGGGTTTGGAGTGACACAGCCTTGGGTTGACTCTAGATTCCACAACTTATTGGTTGTGTGCCCTTGAGCAAGTTATTTTACTTCTCTGAGCTATAGTTTTGCCACCTGTAAAATTAAGATAATCATAAGTTTCTTTCAGGGTGGTTGTGACAAACACACTTGATAGCTCAGAGAGATGCTCCTGTGTCCTTCAGTTCTCCTGGGTGTGAGGGCTACACAAAAGCTAGACGTGGTGTACTCTGGATGGGTGGGGACGCACTTTAAGCAAGAAATCATGTGGTATAGCCTTTCATTGAGGAAAGGTGTAGATCAGAGGAACCATAGAGAGGGGTTGGGCTGGACCTTGACTCATGAGCAGGTGTGTTGGGCAAAAAGGATCAGGGACAATGACCAGGGCTATAAAGAGGTAGCAGGGTTTTTTTTTTTTTTTTTTAAGATTTTATTTATTTATTTGACAAAGAGAGACAAAACGAGAGAGGGAACACAAGCAGGAGGAGTGGGAGAGGGAGAAGCAGACTTCCCACTGAGCAGGGAGCCTGATACGAGGCTTGGTCCCAGGACCCTGGGATCATGACCTGAACTGAAGGCAGACGCTTAACGACTCAGCCACCCAGGTGCCCCAAGGGGAAGCAGTTTTAAGAATGGCTTTCATGGAGCCGAGAGACCAAGAGAATTTCCCTTCTTTGCTGGTTCCTCTTAGAGGTAGTTCTTAAGAGCCAGGGTCAGCTGTCAGGTGGTCAGATCTAGCCAGTGTCTTTCTTGATGGAGGGGCATGTCTCTTGAGAATCCCCATGTCACCATTCACAAAGGCTCTTCCACCTTGGTTCTGTGAGCTGGAGGCTCAGAGACTTGCCATGCAATGAGAGAAGTGGAGTCCTTGCTCTGACTTTCCCTAGGCATCATTTAACTTTCCTAGAATTATCGAAACTCCTCCAGATGCTAGTACAGGGTCTCCCCAAAACTACAGGACAGTGTAGTGAAGAAGAAAGCCTTATAGATTTAAGTAAAAATCCCTGCTGCATTACTTACTAGCTGTGAAACATTAACCTCTTTATTTACCCACTGAACCTCAGTTTCCTTGCCTATAAAATGGAAACAATGAGGGGTACCTGGCTGTCTTAGTCAGTGGAGCCTGCAATTTTTGATCTCGGGGTCATGAGTTTGAGCCCCACACCAGTGCAGAGTTTACTTTAAAAAAAAAAGTGGAGGTGCCTTCAGCTCAGGTCATTGATCCCACGGTCCTGGGATCGATCCCCGCATCGGGCTCTCTGCTCAGCGGGGAGCCTGCTTCTCTTCCTCTCTCTGCCCACCTCTCTGCCTACTTGTGATCTCTGTCTGTCAAATAAATAGATAATCTTAAAAAAAAAAAAAAAGTGGAGGGACCACGCCTGGGTGGCTCAGTCAGTTAAGTGGCTGCCTTCAGCTCAGGTTATGATCCCAGGGTCCTGGGATTGTGTTCCACATCAGCCTCCTTGCTCAGCAGGAAGCCTGCTTCTCTCTCTGCCTCTGCCTGCCACTCTGCCTGCTTGTGCTCTCTCTGACAAATGAATAAATTTTTTAAAAAGTGGAAACAGTGCTACTACCCTAATTCATTTAGTTGTTATGAAGATTAAGTATATAGGGGCACCTGGGTGTCTCAGTTGGTTAAGCATCTGCCTTCAGCTCAGGTCATGATCCCAGGGTTCTGGGATTGAGCCCCATATCAGGCTCCCCTGTCCCTTGGCTGCTCCCCTTACTTGTGCTCTCTTTCGCTGTCAAATAAATAAAATCTTAAAAAAGTTAAAATTTAAAAATGAAGATTATTTAATAATAATAATAATAATAATAATAATAATAATAATGTGCTTAGGCCAATGCATGGCATATAATAAGCCATCCCACTCTTCCTTGTTTATTTCCCTCTCCAGTAGCCGAAGAGATCTCGTCCTTTTTGTAGCATGCTTCTTTATTTCCCTCTTCCGTTCTGAATTTCCCGGAACACAGATTTTGCTTTGTCCTTCAGACTCAGTTCTTGAGTGAGTCCTCCCAGAACCACCCAGCAGGCAGGTGTCACCCCTGACATCTGTTTATGATTCCTTAAAGACAGCTCTGGCCTTCACTGTCTCTGTGTCTCGGAGCCTCCCTCTGCAGGATCGGGGTTGGAAGGGTATTATCAACTCACTTAACCTAAATGCTGCCCTAGTACTGCAGACAGAAAGATTGAACTTGCCAGAGAAATGCTATCCTGAGACCCCTGCCTTCCTTCACCGGTCAGGCTGCTTTCTGCCTCAGGGGCACGGTTTCTGTCTTCCTCAGGTCCTCGTCCAGGCCATCAAGGAGGCGAAGGAGCAGCACCCAGACATGTCAGTGACCAAGGTGGTCGTCCATCAGGAGACCGAAATCTCTGAGGAATGAGCTCAGGTATGGGCTGTTCTTGGTGGGGTGGAGGGTGTTCACTGTCCTGACATCAGAGAGCCCTGACCAGAAACAGCCCCCAGAGGTGCCCATGCTGCGACTCACTAAAGTGAAGGCTTTCTGCTGTCACAGGTATCCCTGAGTCTAAACCTGAGAGGGCCAGAGGAGGAGAATAAAACGAAGAAAAGCAGGACCTGGCTATCTAGAAATGAGGGCTCAGGGGATAGAGAAGAGAGGGCTGAAGCTCAGAGGCCAGACTCGAGAAATGGAAGCAGGGTAGCTGCTTTTGGGGAGCCAGAAATCCAGAGAAATTTATGCCTAGATGTAGTTTACAAATGACTCAGAGAAGCCATCAATCACCAGGGAGGACTGGGCTCCTCAGTAGGAAGGCTCGGGCCCTGCCTGGCACCTGGGACCACAAGAACTTGGCACTGGGATGGGGTGGCTGTCTTCCTTTGCAGAATTGTAAAAGTTTGCTTTCTCTCCTCTAGGAACTATCCTACCCCAACTCCCTGCCTGTCTCCCATCCACAAGAAAACCAGCAAAATGATAAAGACGCTTACCTGCAACAGTCAGACTTCAGGCTTTCAAAATTGCTATAAACCACCAGAAAATTAACTTTGTTTTCTATTTGGGGTTTATATCAAGAGAGTCTTCTAGACGTTGCTGATTCTTTTAATACCTTTTTCTATATTGTGATACCAGAGATTGTTCAACTTTTCACTCTGCGGACTGTTTTTAAAGAGCTTTGTGTTTTTTTAATGGGGTGGTTTGTAACCCCTTCAGCCTAGCCTCTCCCCATTCACTTCCAACCCAGATACTGACAGGTCTACAGAATTCTTGGGGAAATCCTCCAGAGGCTCTGTCAGCTGTGTTGGGGGCCAAAGCCAGCTTAATGGGGCTTCCCTGCTCCTCCCCTACTTTTATACCCTTTCGATGCCGGCAGAAACTTCACGAACCAGCCGTTTCTCAGAGCCAATGATGTGACTTTACCATGTGAGGCGGCGCAGCTTTCCTGATCCACACGCCGCAGGGAGACATCCCTGTCCTTTTGTTGAGGGTGGTTTTGGTGAGGCAGAGATCTCTGCTAAGAATGTAGTGTTGTTTTTCCTTCTTTCCTCCTGTTCTTTCTTTTGGAGCTTCTTTAGATCAAAGACATAAGAAGTTGTTCCAGATATATCTGATACTGTGAATGTTCGAACAAATCTGTGGCCTTCACCTTCCTGCCCTCCCTTCCCCTTTTACCTCGTCAGAAGCAGTGGCTCTGCTAAGTGCTCCCCCCACCTCCCATCTCAGGAGACCAAAACTCACAGAAAAATAGGCACTTTTGGCCAAAAGCTCTAATGGCACATTTTTAGTGATGATTTGAGTAAGGAAAGTTGATGAGATTTAAAAAAAAAAAAAAAAAGGCTTTCTAGTTCTGGGAATGTGCACTTCACACAGGGGAATGGTGTTTACCTCAGTCAGATCCCACTAAGAAGTATTTCCAGGTGACCAACCCTGGGCCTTTTTCTTTAATCCTGGGATGATTGGAAATGTGACTCAGAGAGGAGGTTGTGTTCCTTGACCTTTCTTCTCCTGACCGGTACCTGCCTGCAGACACCGTTCTGGAGCAAGGGAATTGGCTTTTAGGGGCCGTCCTTCCCACAAAACCCCACACGCTAGGCAGCACCAATGCCAGCTCTGCTCATTCCCACTCGCCATCTGAGGTCTGTCAGGTGTTGTAGGCTTGATCTTTGTGGTGGGTTGTGGTTTATTTTACTTCTAATTTTTTTTCCTTAGTTTTGGAAATGGGACTTAGTTTTGGAAATGAGCCCAGTTCCCCCATTACTGGTTGATCTGGAGGCCTTTTTATTCAATAGTGCTTCCCAAATCTTCTAGCTGGCTTCCCACAAACACATCTGCCTGGAAGTTCTTAGAATCTTATGGTGGGACAGAAGTGAACTTCATGAGCTAGACAGTGGGTCACAGTCGGCAGTCTCTGGGCTCAAGAGGCATGAGTGAGAGAAGTGTAAAACCTCTGGTCCCCACAGTGGGGGCCAGCCGCATGTGTCCAAAGCCTCTACTGGCTGAGTCTTCTAGACAAAGTTGGTTGGTTTGAACTGATTTCAGATGTGTGCATTTTTCATTTAGTACTTATGTGAGCCTGTTACTAACCACAAGGCAGCTCTCTGGAGAGGGACAGGAAGAACTCAGGTGGGACGTGTGACAGGCCTGGGAGAAAGGACTGTCCTGTCTCAGGAGCAGACTTCTGGCCTGTGGGCATAGGGTCCGAAATGAGGGGGCTGGCTTGGTGCCTAAGCCTGGCGGTGAGGTTCAGAATCCAGCTCACATCAGATAGCATGTAACGTGAGCTTGCTTTCCAGCGGCCAGCTGTCCTGCTGAAAGAGCTCCCAGCTCCCAGAGCTGACAGCTGTGGAATGAGAGGGTGGGGGTGAGGAAGAGGGCCCACCGAGTTGTCCACTGTCCACGCGGGTGTGCTGTCCACACTGCTGATGGGGGCCTGCACGCCCCCGTGGCTTTGTCACCAGCTCACGGTGCTTCTCCTCTGCTTCCTTGACTGTAAACTGGGCCAGAAGATCTCAAATGCCCTTGCAGCGCTGAGAAGACACAACTTGGAAAAGCTGGGAAGAGGATGTCCTTCCAAGCTTCTTCCCCTATCCTCCCTCCTGGGAACAGATCTGGGGCTTTGACAATTGTTTGGATTTTTTTTTTTCTTCCTGCAGTTATGTGTGCATTTGTGTTGTGTGTGTGTGTGTGTGTGTGTGTGTGTGTGTGTGTGTCTGTGTGTGTGAAGAAAAACAGATTCTGTCCAGGTGGAAATGGTGAAGAAGGGAGGAGAGAGCTTCATTTCCAGGGTCAGAGACTTGGCAGCCGTTTTCCTGAAGTGACTCAGACACACCACAGTGACAACTCTCACTGCAATTTTATTTTTATTCCACTTGAGAAGTAAAGACTTCCTCCAAGCCACATGAGGTCTCTGCCACCCACCTACCCACCCACCCACCAAGCAGGACCTAAATTTCTAAGCCAAGGGCCCACAGAACCTGGCTGCAGGGACCTCTCGGGGCCTCTTCGCCTGCCCGCCCAGGGCCCCCCCCCCATTGCAGGCCCTGCATGGCAGCCTAGGGGGAGGGACCCCGGTCTGCCCTGGGAAGTGGAACCAGAGCTTCGGCCTGACTGACATCAAGGAATGCTCGTTGGGAAGATCTGCCCAGGATGTCAGCCCCAGGCTGGTGGTTTTTACAAATCTCTCTCAAATGTATTATTTTGGTGACAAAAATGAAGGAGCTTTGTAAATTTTTTAAAATTATGAATCATATCAAGTAGTTGTTTACATTTCTTGACAAAATAGGAACTATGGCAGCAGAATCAAATTGGCAAAATCCTTAGATTAAAAAGGCAATAATTAGGTCTGCTGTTTTGGCCTTTTGTAGTAAGAGAAGTGGTGTAGTGTTTAGATACGTGTTTGGTCTTGCTTCTTGTATTGCATTTTTCAATAAACAAAGAAAAACAAAACAAAACAAAAAACAAACCCAGTACTGAATCTGTGAGAGTCGATCAACCTTTAAAGTCCTTTTCTCCTACCAGCGATCTGGGAAAAATTCAACATGGGTAACGGAGACCCAAATTTTTGACCCTAGAAAAGACCCTTTTTCTAAAGTAAGCTACCCACATTGGCCCAGATGCAGCTTCGACGTTGTAGAAAAGTACAACTGGCGGATGCTTTTTGCCAGCTGGGGGTAAATTTTGCACAGGCCACGACAAAGGAGAGAAGGGGGCTTCTCAGACCTGTTGAGGGAGGGGCCGGACCCTCAGGAGAAGGCTTTGGCAGTAGTGTAGCCCTAGTGGGGTGTACCCTGCATGGCTGAGGGTACAGAGGGGCTGAGGTGGTGGGAGTTAAAGTCTCAGTCCCCATCCCAGATGGCAGTGGAGGGTCTCAAATCTACTTCATTGCCCATCTCCCCCAACCCCGCAACCGATGCCACGGTGGAGGGAGCCTGGCCCAGCCTGTCACATGCCAACCAACCTACCTTTCAAGTCTTAGGGGTCCTTGCCCACCACTCTGGGTCTGCGGAGACGCCAGCGGCATCTCCCAATCACCCCAGCCTGGACCTCCAGCCCCTTCAGGTACCTGTCCAAGGCTAAGGCCACTTTTGGAGGCTTAAAGAATTCCCGAGGCCAAGTCATGCTGGCCTCCAGACTCCACGTGAAAACACATTCTCTCCAGCTGATTGAACCCTTGTGCAGTTGGCATTTCTCTGCCGACATGCAAGTCAGGATGCCTTAGCAGCTGCTGGGGCCAGAGCATCCATCTCCAGTCTGGGAAGTGACTGATGCATCTACTAGACATTGGGACTTCTGGTCCTGTTACCACGGTCCATGCGGCAGCCTCCTAGCAGGCTGTCCTCTGCTCTTCAAACCCGGGCTCCCAAGTCCCCTCCTCCTTCCAACTTGGCATAACCCCCCAGGCTGAGGCGGTCCAGCCGGGGCCAGCTCCCGTGAGCACAGTCTCGAGGCGCTGGGGCCCGAAGCAGAAGCTCCCCAAGGCCCAGATCCAGAGACTTGGAATGTTCGATGCAGGAACCAGAGGGCTGCACGGTGATAATCACATGGCCAGTCTGGGTCCGTGGACCCCAGGGTGGGGGCAGTCCCGGGCCCTTCAGCGGGTAACTGTTGAGCAAGGCAGGTAACCCCAAGCGAGGATTCGCAGGCTCTGAACGCAGACTCCGCACTGATGGAACGGGTGAGGTACCCCGACGCGGAGACAGGTCCCAACTTTCTGGCTCTGTGCATCCTATGGCTCGGGGAGTCCTGGGTCCGGGGCTGGGGAGGAGAGCGCAGTCCCAGCCAGGGCCGTCAGGCGGCCGGAGCGCCTGAGCCCGCAGCACCCCCTGGCGAAGCCGTCGCGTCTCCAGGTCGCGGTTCTCGTAGAGCAGCGTGTTGGCGCAGATGAACACGAACAGGCCGACGCCCATGACCACGGGCCCAAGGAGCCGCATCCGCTCGTGCGGGCCGTGGCCCCGGCCGGCGCCGCGACCCTCGCGTCGCAGCTCGCTCAGGGGGGGCGCGCTGGCATTGGCAGCGCGTGGCCCTGGGGCCCCGGCGCGGTGCGGCCAGTAGCCGGCTACGGCGATGCCCATGCCCACCAGCACCACGAGCGCCCCCAGCGCCGCAAACGCCCCCGACGGCGAGCGCAGCCGCAGCCGTGCCCGCACCCGCAGAGGCTCCGGCGGGGAGCGCGGGCGCCGGCGGCGGCCCAGGCGGCGGCCCAGGCGAGAGACGCGGCCCTCGGGGCTCCTCCGCACCTCTCCGAAGTCTCCGGGGCTCCCGGCGGTCATCTTGCCGTCGTCTGGGCGCTCTGCGGAGAGATGGGAGGCAAGGACTAAACCGACCGGCCTAGGGTCGGAGCGCCAGATTGGGGGCCCAAATCTGGGAGGCAAGATCGGGCTGCCTCGCCCAGGCCGCTTGGAGATCCCTGGCGGCCACCCCCGGATTTTCCCGGGCTGCGAGGCGGGGAGCCGCCCCCGCTCGGGTTTTCCGCAGCGCAGCTCGGAGCCAGGGACGCGCGGCAGAAGCCGGAGTTGGCCGGACCCGCGGGCGGAGAGGAGGGAGGGGGGCTCGGGCTGCTACCTGGCGCATCCTCCGCTGCGGGGCTCCGGCCGCCTGCACCCTCTTCGCCAGCCCGCAGATCCCAGGCCTCGGGAGGTGTGCGGGCCCCCGGCAGTGGCGTCTCCAGGGTGAGTCCAGCCCGGGATCGCCCTCACCCCCGCACGTGGGTGCACCGTAGTAAAGGAGGGAGGGTAGTAAAGGAGCTCCGACCGCCCGGGTCCGCTGGGGTCGCTCGCGGGCCCCACCTCCCCCCTACTGCGCTTTACATACCGCAGCGTAGGAAGGAGGGGGTGACTCCAGCCTCTTCCTGCCCGCCCCCTCCTTTCAGACCTCCTCAGCCTGCACTGAAGCTGCAGCAGGAGAGACTTGAGCTAGACTCCGGGAAGACCGTTCTGACCACGACCAGCGGCAGACTTTGCCCAGGATGGCTTTCAAGTCCTAGTTGAAGAGGCCTCCCCTCCCCCAGCGTCCGGGCAGTGGCCAGAGCAGGGGGCCGGGGGCAGGGGGCTGCAGGCGCTGGGCAGGGGGCCCTGCCGGGAGAGCTCCCCCCAGCTCTCCCGTCGGCCCGGGCAAGGCTGTTCCCAGGTTGCAGCGTTTCCAATTCGAGCTCCTCTGGATGAATCATCCCCCTTTCCCGCCGCCTGTCCTCCTTTCCGGCCTCCTCCACCCGAGGCCTCAGTGGCCCGCGTCCCGGACCGAGCAGCACCGCCCCGGCACCTCAGGCCGCCCCAGTTTGGGCCGCCCGGCTTCAGCCCTTCCCGGCCTGTGGCCTAAGAACTGTAGCCGGGCCGGGTAAGGAGTAGCTGGGCTGTGTGTGGTGTGGCCCCCACCGAAGGGAGGGTGTGGGAGGAAACGCGGCCCCCGCCTGGGCGCCCTGGGCCGCAGGGGAGGAGGGCTAGGACCTCGCTGTCCAGTGGTGCGTCTTTACTACCCCTGTCTGGTTTCTAAACAGCTTCCGCGCTGGCTTCCGTGCCGAGGCCCCAGGAAGGAGGCCTTGCTACCCCACTCACTCCCCATCCGCACCCCCAAAGCTCAAGGCACGACACCCCATCCCTCCTCCGACAGGAGTGCGGAAGGCCCAGGGCCTAGCACGGAGCCGCAGAGTCTACTGCGTCCAAAGCCTGATTTTCACAGATGGAAACTGCGGCCCAGAGAGACAGAGGAGCCTGCCGGGGTCACACGAGGAGGGGGCTCCTCCGGGACCCGACGCCGGGCCTGCGGACCCCAGCCCACGCTGTGCGCTTCCCGGCACGGCCACGGGAGAGTCCTGGGAGGAGGCAAGGGCCGTTTCCAAGTCGTCTCTGAGTGTGGAGCCTTCTCCCCGGCCCTTAACTGCAGAAGTGACCACGGCGCCCCAGGCCGGAGCTGGTGCCCCAGCGCCAACCCCGGAAAGGTCGCCCGGAGCCCCAGCGCGTCCCTGCGGGGAGGGAGGCGGAGGCGTGCGGAGAGACGGGCACACACATAGAGACCCCGAGACTCTGGAGGGCGTGGGTCCACGCTGGGGACCCCAGGAGGGAGAAACTTGGAGCCACAGTCTGAAGGTCTCAGGCCGCGGGAAGTTGCTCTGGGCCGGGTCCCTCGCACTCTGGTGTCCCGCCTCCCCGCGCGCCCACACTCTGTCCCGGGGAAAGGGAGGACCGGGCTCCCGCCCCCCAGGGCCTTTCCGGAGGGAGGGGACCAAACAAAAAGTTGAGGAAAGTGGAGGGCGAGCCCGGGGTCCTAGTTTTGCTCACCTGGCGCTGCAGCGCCACGGCGGGTCCCGGTCCGAGTCCGCGCGCCGCGGATCCCGGCACTGCTGCGGTCTCCACGGAATCTTGGCCCCTTGGCCCCACCCCCTCCTCAGGCCCCGCCCGGCACCGCCCAAGCCCCGCCCCACCGGAGCCCCGGAGCCGGGCCCCACCGCTGGAAGCAGGCGGCAGCTCAGGTCTGAGGGTCGCAGGTAAGCGCTGTGTGCTCGCCTGGTGACTCGGAGGATCTGAGGGCCCGAGTCCCAGCTTATGTTGTTCGCAGAGGCTTGGGAGGGAGTCTTCTTCCCACGTGGGTAAACTGAGACCCAGAGCTGGAGAGCCCTACCCGGCTCCGCAGCGAGCGCGCAGAGAGGATTTTCGAAGCCCGCACGCCCTCCCGTGCCAGTCACAGCCTCTCATTCCAGGCGTCCTGGAGAGGACTCGCGGGGGTGTCTGAGAGCCCACTGCTGCCCCGCGCCGTCCAGGGAGCTGCCCGGAGGAGGCGGCCGGGTTCCTGCTCCGCCCGTCCCCGAGCCTTTCCCTCCATGATCCTCAGAGCCTTCACCTGGAAAATGGGCTTAACGGTGTCCGCCTCGTAAGAAGCGAAAACCCAGCGTTGGGGGCAGGCACACCACACGGGGCGCAGCCCGGTAACCCCGCGAGCGCCCAGTGAATAGGAGCCCGGGGCAGGGGTGGAGGCGGTGGGGCTGAGCCGGCTCTCGGAGCTGAGGGAGTCTAACGGAGTGTCACGGGTCCCGCCGGCCTCCCTAACGCCCCTGAGAAGACGCGCCCCATCTGGAGTGGGGAGGTGGCGCCAGCCCCCAACTCCGAGGCACTGGGGGCGTCCCCCGCCGCGGGCCTGACGGGGCCGCCCAGCTCTCGAGCCCTGCCCGCCCCCCGAGGCAGGAATGCGGAGCGGAGCGAGGGGGTCGGCTGGCGGCCCAGTTTCCATGATGCGGGGGGCGGGCTCGGAGGAGGAGGAGCGCTGGAGTGGGCGGCCGGCCAGGCTCCCAGCCGGGCCCCTCGGGAGGAATTTCCGGCCTGGGATTGATTATAACCCGCCCCTCCCCCCCTCCGCCGCCGAGACCCCCCGGCCCGCGGAGCTGGGGGAGGGGCGGTAATGAGACCCGGCTGTGCGCCCCGGGCGGGGAGAGGGGAAGCTCGAGGAAGTAACCGGCCTGGGCCATCCCACCTCGCAGGACGCCACACAGCACGGCTAGTCCTCGAACCCCTCTCGGCCGAGAATACTGGGGGTGGCCTCAGCGCCTGGGATCTCCTTGCTCAGCCCTCGGGGACAGGCATCCCGGGAGCGACCGAGGTCACCCCTGGGGGCGGAGCCTCCTGGGGGATCCACCGTGAGGGTACCGGCGCCCCGCAGAGCGGATGGGGCCTAGCCTGGGGTCGGGTAAGGTCGCAGAGCCAGGCCGAGGTCGCCTTCCTGCCGCCGCGTGAGACTAAGGCTCCTGCGGCCCTAGCTCCGGAGAGAACTCCCCTCGCTCTGCGCCTGGGCTGTGGCTGAAGCTCCCCTGAGGCGGTGGCCTCCTTCCTGCCACCTCCTTCGCTGGAGACCTGCAGTCGACCGTGCGCTCCCTCTATTCCCGCACATTGACCTCTCCACGCCCCCCACCCACCGCTCGCCCGACTCCCACCCAACATGGTCTGCAGCCCTGTCCACCGTGGCTGCTTTTCCTGGGGACACCAACCCGTGGCTAGAGCTCTGGCAGTCTCCGGTCCTTGTCTTTGAGACTCCACCTGCCCTGGCATTTACCCCGTGCTCTTCCTGCCTGCCCCTCCTGACTTTTCTTCCTCTGGGCCTCCTCTGCCCTCCTCTGATGTTGGGACTCTGTCTGCCTGGGCCCACAAGCCCACCTCACTTTCAGCAACCAGTCACCTCCCCAGCAGTGTCCCTGCTCCCGGTGATCATGGCCCATTCCTACCCTTCCTGTTCCCCACCTTGTAAAGGGCCCCACTGCCCACCAGAGGGCCCTCAGCACCAGGGGTCACCTTAGGTTCCTTCCTCTACCCCATCCCCCCTTCCTCCAATCCTTCAAGTCCTGTGGACCCTCCTGTTTGAATCCCCAGTTAGCGGCCTTCTCCCACCCCAGGGCCACAGAGGCACAGACCATCTTTCTACCCTGGATCTAAACCAATCACTCATTTGCTTAACCCCCCCAGTGGCTCCCCAGAATTGTCCAAATGGAGTTTAAAATCCTTTCTCATCTGCACAAACTGGCTCCTGGCCCCCAACCCCTCCCCACTGGTAGCCGAACTTGTTCCCATCCCCGTATCTGTGCTCTGGCCTTGGGGCTTGGCCCCTGCCTTGACTGCCAGGAATTCCCACTCCCTATCAACCCCTTGGTTCCTTCCTGCCCTCCAGACCGTTTCTGTGCCTTCTGTGGGGCCCCAGGGTTCATCACCCTCGCCCCTCCCGACCCCTCCATTAGACACCGTCCCTGGAGTGTCTCCTTAGCGGCCCTGCTCACAGGAGAACTGAAATCAGTGTTTGGGATTTAAGCCTAGGTCCTATGTCCCCCTGGTGGTGAGCTCTGAGGGGAGGACTGGGTCTGTGCTACCCCTCCCTGAGCCCTGGCCCTCCCCTGGCCTGTGTCTTCTCCTGATGTGCACCTCTGGGGCTCCAGCCCAGACAGCAGGAAAGGACTCAGCCCCCAGTCTCAGTTTCCCCATCTGCACCAAAAAGGGGGGAAAATACCTCACTGTGTCATTTGGAAGTTCAGATGAGAGCACAGATGCTCAGTATCTCGCACAGAGCAGCTGCCCACCAAACGGCTGGTCCCTCCTCTGACCCTGGGTTTTGAGGCACAGAAGGTGGTATTGGGGAGTTGTAGAAACCTTCCCTGGGGTTATCTGTGGTGGTGGTGAGAAAGGTCCTCTTTTCCTCGATATAAGCCCACTTGCTTCTCTCAAGAGCTCTGGGAGGCCAGTGATAGGCCCAGTTTACAGAAGAGGAAAGTGGCTCAGAGACATGGAGATCTGCCGGCAGACACATAGCCAGGCTGGTAAGGGCGCTCTCCTTCCACAGAGGCAGCGTCATGGGGCCTGCTTGGTTGGGCTCTGTGGACTCACAGGTATGTGGGAAGCTAGTGGCCTTAATACTGGGACATCAGTTCCACGTGGGATCTGCCTCTGTGTGACATGGACTCCTTTGTTTCTGCACCAGGAGGGACCTGGACGAGATGACCCTGGGGCCAACGTGGCTGACATTTCTCCCCCAAGCTTCTCCAGGGAGGCAGAGAACCAAACACAGGGACCCTGAGGTCCCTGCCTACTTGAGGCTCCATGTCCTCTCCAAAAGCCACGAGGGGGAGAGAGCAGCTGTCATCTCCTGCATGTCACAGCTCCCTCCTGGGGCCACAGAGAGCAGGCCTGGGAACTCATCTCTCATCTCCAGTTTAGGAACAGCCCGGCTGGCTGGGTCCGGGCTGCCCCGGATTTCCTGCCCAAGCCCCAGGGGTTTCTAAAACCATCCTTGTCTTTGAGCTGTCCCAGAAGCACTCAGAGGACACAGCTGAATGCCTGTGGGGCCCAAGCCCAGTAAGACCACAGCCTCAGCTAAGATCCCTGAAGCCAGTGGAGAGGAGAGAGCTTGGCTCTGAGACCCAGTTTTGATTCTACTGCCCATTCACTGGGTGACTTTGGGCCCATCGCAGGAGTCCCTCGGCGCTCCTGCCTCTCGAATGGGTCCTTCACAGGAAAACTGGTGGGCTGATTCAGTAAGAAATGACTGGCAAGTAGAATCCAGAACCCCAATTCCAATGCCTCATTTTATAGGGACAAACCGACATCCAGAGAGGCACAGGGACTTGACCAGGGTGACCCAGCCAATGAATGACAGAGTGGGGCTTCAGGCTGCACAGCTACAGGCCCCCACCCTGGGCTCAGGCTTCAGGGATTGTTGGGATGGGAACCCCAAGTCCATCTCCCCACCTGTAGAAGCTCTGAGCCGGGCAATGGCTTCCCTGGTGTCTACGTGACTGGCAAATCTCTTGGGAAGAATGAACTCCCCATCTTCATGGCTCTCCCAAGCCCAGAGAAGAGACAGAGCCGAGCGTAGGTGACACTGGGAAGGCCAAGGAAATGAGACCCTCCTGGGGGACAGGGCAAAGCCAGCCTCCTGCCTGAGTCCCTAGGGGAGAGATGACAGTAGAAAGTCACCGTCTTGTCGAGCTCCTCTTGGCTCTAACCCCTTCATACCTGTTACCTTCCTAAGTGTGCAAGACAACCCTGAGAGGGAGGTGACACGATCACCCCTTGTCACCCACGCTATGTTACACTATGTCTCACTAGCCCTGTGACTGTGGCTAAGTCCCAGGTCTCTGTTTCCCCTTATGTCCATTTCCTCTTCTGCAAAATGGGGACACATGGTAGCAAGGCATGCCAAGGCCTCTAATGAGGAGGGAACTCCACAGGAAACACGGTGGCACTGGAGCTTTTCTGGCCTTCGACTGGTTCTTGCCCATCAGTTTCCTCTCCTAGAAAACGTGGAAGTGAGGCTAGTGATTGTCTCTCTTCAGCCACCTCCTCTGGGGACCAGAGAGGAGCCCTGGGCCCCATCCAGATTCTTCAAGGGTTGAAGTGAACGGACCATCCACCAAAGGCTGAGAAAGTGACAGCTGACTCCATGTGGGGGCCAGGCAGCAGGGAGGACTTCCTGGAGGAGGGGGCCATGGCCTTCCCGCTGGGTCTCAGGATCAGAAGAGTTACCCAGGCTGCTGAGGGGGACCCGCTCGATGGGAGCTAACTCTGATGTTCGAGCTCAGTGACAGAATGTTGGGCCTGGCTGATGTTGCCAGAGGAGAGTGTAAGAATTTCAAGTGACATGAAGCAAGACCAAATTTCTCCTTCACTTTCTAGCTGGAGCCTGAACTGTCTAGAGTCAAGGGAGGCCCCTGGCATTAAGGACCCAGGCTCCTTCCATCTTGCTGCTCTTCCCTCCCAGAGGTGTGGCCACCCACCTTGTCTTTGTGGTTGAAGATGCTCTCTGGCCCTCCTCCCTGAGTTTGGGGACCAGCCAAGGAGAATAGGGCTGGGAAAGGGGACTGTGCTCCCCACTCCTTTTAAAGAACAGCCCCCTATGCACACATCCATGCTTCCTTCCCAGTGGTTAGAACAAGATTGTGGGCCACACCCAGCCCAAAGAGAGGCTGGGAAATGGGTATTGGGAGACAATGAGAAGTGCTTGCTAGATGCCACAGGGA